AAATGAAAAATACACTAGGTGGGATTAATGACAGATTACACATAGCAGAAGAAAAGATTAGTGAACTTGAATGACAAAAGTGGAAATTATCCAAAATAAAACACAGAGAAAAAAGAGAATTAAAAAAAAATAGATGCCAGTGAGCTGTGGGACAACTTGAGGTGCCTAATATACTTGTAATTAGAGTCCCTGAAGGAGACAAAAAAGGAAGAGGGGTCAAAAAAATTTTTTGAAGAAATAATGGCTGAAATTTTTCCAAATTTGATGAAAACTATAATTCTACATATCCAAGAAGCTCAATGAGCTCCCGAATAAGAAACTTGAAAAAAACTAGCAAGGGACATCATAATCAAATTATCTCAACCAGTGATTTAAGAGTTTTTAGAGGAAATTTTAAAAGGAATCAAAGGATAAAAAGGAACAAAGATAAGGATGACATTAAATTTTTCATTGGAAACAATGCAAGGGAGAAGGGAGAGATGAGGAAGCACATTTGTTAAAGTATTAAAGGAAAAAAGTCTGTCAAGCTAGAATTCTATACCCAATAAATATACTGTTCAAAAATGAAAATGAAGCAAATGCTTCTTAAGACATTCAAAACCTAAAAAAATTCATCACCAACAGAGCTGCACTACAAAAAATGTTAAAGAAAGTCCTTCAGGCAGAGGGAAATAATGCCAGAGAGAAATATCAATCTATAACAAAGGAATGATGAACATTAGAAATGATAACTATATACATAGGTAAACACATAAGAACTTTTGCTATTCAAATCTCTTTGAAAGATAACTGACTGGTTAAACAAAAATAGTAACAATGTAGTATGGAGTTTATAACATGTAAAGGTAAAGTGTGTAACATCAAGAGCACAGAGGCGAGGAGGACAGAAATGGAAGTGGATTATTATGAGGTTTTATATGTAAAGTGGCATAATATCACTTGAAGGTAAATTGCGATAAGTTAAAGATGCATACTACAAAACCTAATGCCATCACTAAAGTAACATAGCAAAGAGTTATGGCTCATAAATAAACGAGGAAGAAAGCCAACAATAGAATAATAAAAAATATTTAATTAATCAAAAAAAAGGCAGAGGAGAGGAAAAAGGGAAACAAGGACTGATAGGACAAATAGAAAACAAATAATAAAATGATAAATTTAAACTTAACCATAAGCATTAAATTTAAGTAGTCTAAATATCCCAAATAAAAGGTAGAGATTGTCAGATTAGTTAAATTAAAAAAAAATCCTAGCAAGATTCAGCTACAAGCTGCTTAAAACAAATTCTCTGTAAATATCAAGACATGAATAGGTTAAAAGTAAAAGGATTAGAAAAGATATGCCATGCTAATACTCAGCCAAAAAAAAAAAAAGCTGGAGTGTTTATCTTAATATCACAAAAAGTAGATTTTGGAGCAAAGACTATTACCAGAGGTAAAGAAATTCATTTCATAATGATAAACAGGTCGATTCTTCAAGAGGACATGAGAATCCTAAATGCATATGTGCCTAATAACAGAGCTTCAAAATATATGAAACAAAAATGAGAACTGCAGGGGCGGCCAGTTAGCTCAGGTGGTTAGAGCACAGGCTCTTAACAACCAAGGTTGCCAGTTTGATTCCTACATGGGCCAGTGAGCTGCACCCTCCACAACTAGACTGAAGACAACAACTTGACTTGGAGCTCATGGGTTCTGAAAAAATCACACTGTTCCCCAATAAAGTTGAAAAAAAAGTGAGAACTACAGAGAAAACTAGATAAATTCCTAGAGAAAACTAGATAAATTCCTAATTCAAGTAAAAGATTTCAATATCCCTCTCTCAATAATTAATAAAACAAGTAGATAAAAAAATCAGTAAGAATATAAAATATTTGAAAACCACATCAATCACCTTGACCTACTTGATGTTTATAAAACACTCTATCTAACAATAGTAAAATATATATGATTTTCAAGTGCACCTAGAATATTTACCAAGATAGACCATAATCTGGGCCACAAAACAAATCTCAGTAAGTTTCAAAGGATTCAAGTCATATTATACAAAGTATGTTCTCTGAACAAATTAGGAATCAATAAGACAAATACATTTGGAAAATTCCCTAACATTTAGAAATTAGGTAACACATTTCTAAATAACCCAAGTGACAAAGAGGTAATCCAAAGGGAAATAGAAAGTATTTTAAATCAAACAAAATGAAAACACAACATATCAAAATGTATGGGATGCTGCTAAAGCAGTACTTAGAAGGAGAATTTATAGTACCAAATATTATTAGAAAAAGAAAAGTCTCAAATCAATAACTTCAGCTTCCACCTTAAGAATGAGAAAAATAAAAGTAAATGAAACACAGTCAAAGGAAATAATAAAAATCAGAGTAGAAATCAGTGAAATAGAAAACTAGAGAGAAAATCAATGAAACCAAAAGCTGGTTCTTTGAGATAATCAATAAAGTTGATAAACTTCTAGGAGACACAAACTACCTGTATGACAAATGACTGAAATATCATCAATACAGAGTCTACAGATATTAAAAGGATAATAAGAAAATACATAAATAATTTTATGTCAATAAAGCAACAATTTAGGTAAAATGTACACATTTCTTGAAAAATACAAACTACCAAAGCTTACACAAGCAGTAGATAATCTCAATAGCCTTATTTCTACTAAAGAAAAAAAATTTTTTTTTAAGATTTTTATTGGGGAATTGGGGGAGGGGAACAGTGTCGGGAATTGGGGAAGGGGACCAGACAGGTTGTTGTNCCACTCCGCAGGCCCTCGCTCTTATCTTTGAGGTAAGTTCTCCATGCTCTACTCGGCAGATTTCTACTGAGTCCCTAAGTTGTGGTTGGAAATTGGGTTGTCTGAGATGCGAGGACAATCCCACCCCTGGGTCACGGCAGAGCAGGAAGAGGAAACGGACCACGGAGGTGACCTTACCTGTATTCCACTCATGGCGGCAGCTTCCCCAGGGAAGGTCGATGGTGAAGCTGCTGAAGAGGTAGAAGAGGGCCCAGGCCAGGACAATGATGTAGTAAATGTTGAGAAGAATGACGATCATCTGGGAGGCATAGCCGATGCCTGGAGAGGGAAAGGAGCCGAACTGGGCTAGCGACAGTGCACAGGTTTCTCACACATGACCCACCCCTGTTTAGGAGAGGGCTCACACACCACTGTCAGCATCCTGGATCAAGGAGTGCTGGGGCCCAGGCTCCTGGCTCCTTCCTCTCCCTTCCAGCAGCAGGAGCGTGCTTCCCGCTCCCACAGCCCTCCCCACGGCAGGCGGGGACTTCTCTCCCTGCCTCCTGCTGCCTTATCCGGGCTTCCTGTGCACTGTCATCTTTATCAGGTTCTGAAAGTTTACTGACTCAAAGTTATTTTAAAATGTGTGAGACTAACTCCGAGATTCCAATAGTTAATGTTCCCTGGAATTAGTCTGATGTATTTCTGAAATATAAAAACATATGTTAACAGCAGGAACAGATAATTCACATAGGAGAAAAATACAAATAGATCCGCCCTCATAATTGCAAGTGTGCAAAATCAAACAATAATGAGGTACCTTTCTGCATCTACAGTCCTAGTGAAGATTTTTACAAATGATAACTCAATGATTTCTAAACTTGTCTGCATATTAGAATTAACTGGGGATAGCTTAAAAATTCCAAAACCCAGGCCAGACCCAAGACCAATTAAATCACAACCTCTGGGGGTGGAGTACAGACCTCAGGATGTTTTGAGGGCTCCCCAGTTAGTACCAATATGCAGACAAGTTTGGGAACCACACATAGCTCAGAGTTGTTAAAGATAGGAAGGAAAGCTATCTAGTGACACTCTAAGTCCATATAGTACTTTCACAGGACAATTTAGTAAGCCAGATCAAGAGACATCAACTTGCTCATCCACTTGACCTAGTGACCCTAATCCTGGGAGTTTATGCCAAAGAAATAATTCCAAAAAAGGGGAATTATCTCAACAAATATACATAATAGCAGAATATAACAATTTTATATAAGTAATTGAAAATAAGAAAAAGTCCAAAACAAAGAATTGTTAAGTAAATTATGACATATATACTTGATGGAAGCTTATGTAATCATTAAATGATTGTTGTGTAGAAAATGGAAAATAACACTAACTGAAAAACAGAGCTATAAAGTGTGCATAATCCCTATTAATAGATATGTAAACTCTATAGATAGAGAAAGAAAAAATGAAATAAAACTCTCAAAACTAGAAACAATCCAAATGTTGTTCAATGGGTAAATAAATTGTGATATATCCATATCATGGACTAATAATACTCAGAACTATTGAGACAAGAACAAGCAAGCTGGATGGATCTCAAGGGCATCATGGTGAGTGAAAAAGCCAATCTCAAAAAGTTATATGACGTATGCTTCCATCTATATAACATTCTCAAAATCACAAAATTATGGAGACAGTGCATAGATTAGTGGTTCCTAGAGGTTAGGGATGGGGGGGGGTAAAATGACCATAGCGGAGTAGCATGACAGAGATCTTTGTGGTAATGGGATGGTTCTGCATCTTGATTGTAGTGGTGGTTACACAAATCTATGCACACAAAGAGGTAAAATTACACAGAATTATACAGACACAAATGAGTTCAAGGAAAACTGGTGAAATCTGAATAAGATCTGGATAGCAATGTCAATTTCTAGGTTGTGATATTGTTCTAAGTGATGTAAGATGTTACCATTGGGGAAAACTGCGTGAAAGATACACATGACCTCGCTGTACTGTTTTTTACAACTTTCTGTTAATATATAATTATTTCAAAATAGAAACTTCAGAAAATCCTACATAGAAAGAAATATTGAAATAAAACACCCTAATTTTAAATAGCTATTGTGTCAAGATGGTAGAATTATTAATTATATTTTTCTCATTTAAAATTACTTTTTAAATGTTTTCTAATTGATTATGTTTTCAAAAATACAGAACCATTGTTACATGTTTTTAAAATGTATAGCTAACATAGCTTTGCACCCTACTTCTTTAACCTAAAGTATTAGCCCCATCCTCATCCCCATCTTCTCCATTTTCACATGGACTGGGTGATTAGCTCAGTATTGGGCCCATAAAAATGGAGGGTTTAACATAAAGACACAGAGTCTTATCTCAATTAGCACTGCTGCTAAACAATCCAGTCATTCCAAATAAGGTGTACAACCCTAAGTGTAGATACCCTGGAATCAGACACACAGCTACTCACCCTCAAAGATGGGGCAGATCTTCCTCCAGGCTGTGACGCCTCCCTGGCTGGTGTACTGGCCCAGTGCTGTCTCCAAGAGGAAGACAGGAATGCCACAGGTAAAGAGGAAGATGAGGTAGGGGATAAAAAAGGCACCTGTGGGTGGGAAACAGGCTGTCCGTTACCTGGCACTAGCCTCCTCATGGTCCACATTCATCTTTTCCCATTATCATCCCATACTGCCCATCAGAATCCCAGGGGCAGGGACATGAAAAACTACAGGGGACATCTACCCAGATGTCAGGAACTATATATAGCAGAGTTAAAAACTCTGCTATATATATACACCAACTTAAAAAAAAAAAAGTCACCAACCTACCTGGAATCTAACCAGTCCCTTTTTTCACTCTGAAGTTTCAGTCTATACCTACCAAGGCTTGCTCCCCATCAAACATCAATTATTGCCCAAATAATACATAACTTGTGGCAATAACAAGGAGCTCATTGAATAATGGATATCCAGGAGCATTAACACAGACACAGACTGTAACTCTTTTCAAGGAGATGATTGATCTGAGTGTTAGATAGAAACTTTTAGCAGGCTGAAATCAGATTTCCCTTTAGTAATCTTTCTGCTTCTGTTTTCACAATCATTGGATGAGACAAGTCTACGGATGCTAGAAATACTGTCATTTTCTCCACTTTGGACCTTTATCTGCAGGCAAAGTGGATGAGGGACTTCACAGAGTACTGGAGAGGAGGGAGCTGCACAGAGAGGGAGATTCAAGTATCTGCAGAGGATTGCCTTCTAGCTTTCAACTGAATACTGGTCAGCACTTATATGTGAGGAAACTATGCAAGATGAAAGAAAATAAAAGCACTCAAAAGACTGAGATCATGGTGCTCACACAGATAATCTCAGGATTCAAGGGCATTGGGAGGAAAAGGCATTGCCTCAGTAGAAGGGAATAATTAGCCCTAGATTGGGCACAACTCAGGTTCTGCCTAACAAATCTTAAAAGCAAAATCCAATAGGATCAAATAATTTCACTGGTCCCAGAAAGGAGCTCAAGAATTTTTAGAATCACAAAAATACTCAGCAACAAGTAAGGCAAAATTCGCCATTCAAAAATTACCAGGAAAACAAAGAAGCAGGAAATATTACACATAATGAGTAGATAAATCAACCAATTGAAACCAACCCATATCTTACATAGATGTTAGAATAAGCAGAAGAGGACATTAAAATAGTTATTATAATTGCATTTCATGTGTTCAAAAAGTTAGACAGAGACATGAAAAATATTGAAAAGATCCAAATCAAACTTTTAAAAGTAAAAACCACAATATGAGAAATGAAAAATACACTAGGTGGGATTAATGACAGATTACACATAGCAGAAGAAAAGATTAGTGAACTTGAA